CCTTTTTAGGTCTGACATCGTTTCACTTTGCAACTCCATTGGCTTCAAACATTTTAATTTCAAAACTTTTAATAAAAGATTAAATTTACTAAAAAATGAAGTTCTCCATATGACGAAGCTACTATGTGTTGAACCAAGGTTCAACGAGGAACATAAGCCTAGTAGCGTCAGAGTTAATAATAATGCGACATGAGATCTGCCGATTTGTTACATCATGGTCGATTTTTTGTAGCTAAGTCCAAGCCATGATAAATAATTTTACTATACTAGCTTATCCAGCAAAAGTTGGTTTGTTGCTTGCAAAATTAATATATTATGTTGATTGTTTAAATAAAACACTTTAAGTTTAAAAAATAACTTATTAATTTTTACTTCCCCACTTTGATTAATAAATAATATATGTTAGTTTAAATTTCTACTCGCGTCTAAGACAGTATGTTGATTGTTCCTTGTTTTTTCTGATATTACATAACCTTAATAAACGGCCTATCCAACACAAAAATATTTTTTCAATTCGAACTAGTAGTTCCCGAGATTTGTGCCTTTTATTAGCTTACGCCTCTACGTTTTATGAAAAATGTAATAAAATTGTTAATTACTCTGACTATTTTATACTAAAAGAGAGTCTAGTGCAGTGTTCATATAATACAAAATAATCTAGATCTAGACGAAACAATTCATTTAGCATATTATCGGCGCATGTTATTGCTAGAAAGGAAGATTTAGGTAAAAATAACATTTTTTATGGTTATTGTTTAACACATGTTTGACTTGTCATGACGGCACTATATAAATTAAAAATCGATTATAGATTGATAAAAAATTTAGACACGGGTAGGACTTGAACCAACATCTAAGTACCTACAGCATTCCTTGCTGTTGCTGTAACCAATTGAGATGCCGTGTACGGAAGTGATTGATATAATTGTTATAAATTTTGACGCGTAGAAGAATATACTCAGAAAGATATAATTTGATGTTCTCGAGAAAAAAATAGCAATTTTCAATTGACTACCTACTTTTTAGGATGTCAATTTTTTAAGAGCTGCACATTTTTAAGTATACAACTTATAAAAGTTTAAATTAAAACTAAATATTATCTACATTACAATACAAATTAACCCTTTTTGCCCAAAGAAAAAGAAAAATTGTCTATTTGAGTCCACTATATGTCAGTCTGCGAGTGTTGTATCTAAAATATGAATTATCGTTTTCGCTGTGGTCACAGAAGCGTTACAAGTATTTAAACGACTTGGGGATTCCCGTAAAGCGCTTATCACTCTCTTACCTACATTTTATGAACTTTGCTTGGCCCCCTTAAATACCAGGCCGTCGACCAGTAGTCTTTCATTAGAACCAAAGAGACTTAGAGAAGGACTAAGGGGCATCTTGGAATATTAAACAACGTAATTGTACTTACAGATAAGACCAAATAACTAAATAGTATGTTGAAAAACTTTCAATTAGCCGATGCTGATGAATTTTTTATTTCGTCAATTTCAAGTTATTCTCACCGCGATAAAGCGAAAGGTTAATGAACAAGTGTGTCTAATTTGTATGTCTGAGTATTTCGCAGCTTATAAACAGGAAGCCCGGCCCAAGATATCTGTTACTAAGAGCAGTATTGAAGGTGTAAATTAAAATACGTCAAAAGAAAGTTACTTGGACTACAGACAGCACTTTGAAATTAAAAGCTTAAAGTAAATCTTTCCTTGAAGTAAAGCATATATTATCATACACGTAAAAGTTAAATGTGAAAGTCTAAATCAATTTGATATATCTATGCTTTGGTTGTTGACATCAACGACAAAAGGAGTAAGATCTAAATGATATATGATGATATGAAAAATATTTTTCTTATACATAGCTTAGTACATATAATATACTAGCGGCCCCTCCCGGCTTCGCACGGGTAGACATTTATTTAAATTATAAGCATGCTAATTAAAACGACCATGAATCACTAAATTAGAAAAAAATTGTATTGCGCGTCCTGGCTGCTAACGACCGTTGTCTGTCACGCTGTTTCCCGTGCACGCGGTTGCGAATTCCTAGCTATTTCCTTCAAGTCGCTGCGAGCGCTCGGCGTCTGACTGACGTTCGTATAGCTGCTACGATCTTGCATTTTGTTCTGCAAGACGAACCTGAACGTTGGACGATAGAATCTCTGGGCCACGATTGGGACGCGTACACTCTAATACTTTTCAGATGATCATTTTAGGAAGAATACTCTCCCATACGACGAACTTTTGCTTATCTCGCTTGGGAACTATTCTTAGATAGCTGCGACCTTCTTCTTCCAGGCATATTGCTATGAAGGATATTTATTTTAAATCCGAGAAATTAGGAATAAACTATTCAAAGTGTGATTCCTCTGAAAAGAACGTTTTAAGTAAAGCATAAAAATGTTAAAAAAACACTCGAATTCTTAATGTCGCTCGCGTCCACTGCGTAAGGAGCCTACTGCCCATCTCTCATCGAGTTTGTCACTCGAAGGGCGATGCGCGGCGTGGCTGCCGCCGCCGGCATGTATTTTTATTTTATTTTCATTATATCTTTTGAATGGAATGTCCGATTTCAATCATTAAAAAAGTCATGGTATTGAGACAATCTTGAATATTAAATTTTATTTATTTAAATAAAATTTATAAATGGTATGGATAACACGGTCTGATTTTGTTCAGCATTTCTATCAATTTTTTAAATGCAAAAAAGTAGTTATAGCGACGTAACTACAATAGTTAGACATATGCTCTCGGGATGTTTTTAGTAGATATTGATATATTCTATAACATTGTCGAACATTTTTTTGTCCTATCATTAATACTTTACGCAGCGTATGCGATGAAAGACATTTTATGGCTAATTTTTTTACACCTCCCGTTGCTTTTAATAGACATTTCTACCGTAATCTAGTACTATTTATAGTCTATTTTACTCAGTGATAATGTAGTTTTCTAATGAAAAAAGAATTATTAAAATCGGGCCAGTACTTTTTGAGTTTATCCGTTACAAACAAAATACAAAAATACAGATCATTCCTCTCTATAATATTAGTGTAGATAGCTGTAACCCACGATATTCGTATCCCGTCGAACGCGTCCCGTCGTTAGAGTCGTTCTTGCAAGACGTTCAGTTAATCTTAAAAGATAGACATATAGCGTCGCAGACTTTTTTTAGATCATTTAAAGGAATCATTCTTTCATACACAATTTTTGGTATCTTGAACCGTTTTTGCAGCATACGCATCCGAAATCTACACATACCCATTTCTCGCTTTATCTTCGCTCCTATTAGTCACATCGCAATGTGTTATACCTATAACCTTTCTCGATAAATGTTCTAACCAACACGAAAATAATTTTTCAATTCGAACCCTTACTTTCTGAGATTAGCGCGTTCAAACAAACAAACAAACTCTTCAGCTTTATATATTAGTATAGATATAAATTATACCCTAAGTTTTCTCCTGGCTAGTTTTCATAGACGAATTATATTTTTTTACTCTAAAATTTAAACGCCTTATGAGGGGGTAAAAATTAGGCACAAACGCTTCTTTTAAAGACACACTCGCCGCTCCTCGCCAGTCCACTTGAACTTGGCTGACACGATGTCGCGTGTCTAGATTTCTACTGCATACATAATCGTTCTACGGCATATCAAGAAATACGCGTTCAGCTCGTAACGCGTTGATTATATTTCGAATCGACACAAAGTAGTATCGAGAACAGGTCGCTTTGTTTTTCAATTGCTCATTAATTTTTTACATCGATAACGCAAACATGACGATTAGAAGCAAAACACAAATTAAAAACTGTATTAAATGTAATTATATAAAAATAACGTGAGCAGTTCACGTTATTTTTCACGCAGCGGTATCGTGTTGATGGTTGATGATTTTTCAGTGGACATAGCGGCTTACGATCACTGCTCTCGCCCCTCGATTATTCGCACGAGCGTCCGTCTCTGCTATCTGTATCTCTTGCTCATTCGATGATTACTATTATTTAGTGGTTTGGGACACGAACTCATTTTCGCTATTCTCTACCACCCATTTATTTTCCAGATTTCCAGATGAAAATTATAAATTGGTTAGAAAAATGTTGGTCCCGGTGAAGATCGAATCCATGACCTGTTGATTATTTTGCCATACGTTACTAACGTGGGACGACGTCCATTCATCCGTCCATTTTTTATTTTCATAATTTACGTGTAATTTCAATTAATTTCATTATTTTAAGTGTTAGTTTGATTCTTTTAGGCTCGGATAGAACAAGAGGAAATTTAGTTATAGTAAACATGAACTACTTTTTCGGTTTTTAATTTAAAGTCTGTGAAAATAATGCATTATACAAAACCAAATTATAGATAACACTGTAATTAATAAAAAAAAAACTGTTGATTATTCCATGAAGTTTTTTGAACTATGCAAATATAGGTACCTAACACGAATAATCACGATTTCACAAGAAAATCTTTTTCATTAGTAAGTGCTGTTTTCCCTTCTTTCATAATAATAGCTTTTATTTAAAAGTAAAAATCGTGTTTCGTACACTGTAAAAATATACACACACGCTGGTCAAATTACTGTTATAGCCATTAGAGAAAAATGTTTATAATTTTCGTCAATAAGTGAATCTTCAAAGCCTTCCAACGTGAACAGATAGTTATGATATTATTTTTGAGTTGATTGAAAAGGTTTACAGTAGGCTAATATCGAGCGATGCGCACGCGCCGTCCACTATGAACGCCACCTAACGACGGTTAAGTTTTCTCAAATAAATAGAGTTCGCTAACAGGCAACACTCAATTGGTTGGACGCGACCGTGGAAGTAATACAACAAAATATAAGGAACGATTCAGTCAGGTATGTCCCTCTGAATTAAATGATTTCATGTTCCTTACCAAATTTATTATTTAAAAGAATTGGTTCAAAGAAAGTTATCATTTTTTGACTTTGACTTTTGAATATCGCACAAAGCACTCTTATATTTCTTAATATGGACAGTGAGTTTCATTTCATATTTGGTAAACTTCTAATAATAGATCTGATTGGAAAAAAAATTGAAATCAAGTTTTTAACGATACTGTGACCATGGGAAATATTTATTCAATTCTAAATAGATAACGAATATATACTCACAATTAATTTTATAACTACTTCGCTAAGTGTTCACACATTCGATAACAATGCTGTACTGATTTTTAAATCAATGGTGAGTGTTGTTGCTTTTTATAGTTGGCAAGGAAATCAATATTTTAGGAAAATTGCTTGATTGATTCAAGAATTGCATTCTAGCTGCTCGAGCAGCTTTAGCAGATGTAATGGAAGTATCCCTCCCGAGTATCGCGACGAGTATCCTGCTGGCGACTGCTACACTACTTTGCTATGTCTACTGCTGCTACTCTCTTACTTATTGGAAGAGGAGAGGCGTCCCGCAATTGAAGAGCACACAACTATTTTTCGGAGACTTCAAGAATGGTATCCTCTTCCGTTCACCCCCCGGGTACCACTTCGGCGATCTCTATCGGCAGTCACCGAACGCACCTTATGTCGGCTTCTACATCTTCCACAAGCCGTGCCTGCTCCTCAAGGACCCGGAAGTCATAAAGCAAATATTCATCCGCGACTTCGACAAATTCTCCGATCGGTACTTCGCCGGTTCCGAACAAAAAGATAGTACTGGCATGATTAACCTCTTCGGGCTGAAGAACCCGGCTTGGAGGTATCTTAGAAAGAGAATATCCCCCCTCTTCACGAGAAGTAAATTAAAGCAGATGCTGCCGTTTATGATGGACGCCTCTAAGCCCATGATGGAGTACTTAAAGAGGAAGGTGGATAACGGGGGTAATGTGAACGTGGTCGATGCGCAGGAAGTCAACTACAGATACACGGCTGACCTGATAGCGAACGTCGCTTTGGGTTTCAAGTCGGATTCATTTAACGGACCAGATTCAGACTATACAAAGAATTGTAAGTACCTATTCTAGTATACGAATTAAGTATCTGAGAAACATGTAAAACGTCACCATCGAATCATAGCTTAGTTAATAAAAAAAAATCAAGGTTTAAAGTGTGTTGTTTACCAGCTATTTATATAGTTTTCTTTTAAATGACACAGAATTTATTAAAAAACGAAGCACAAGGTTAATGACAGGACCTGATTCCTGTTATTTTCGTTATGCCAGTCTATTAATTCCATGAATTTATTTAAATGTGATGGAAACATAATTTTAATACTGTCTATCGTTTACGCGAGAAGTAAAAATTTAAATAAAACACTTTAACGGTTTAAAACGCGATTTGAAACGTCTCTCCAAATCTGCGGTATGCCAACACTCATCGGAAGGGCCCAATCACTAAATTCGCTTTGACCAGCCAAAAATCCTCGCAAAGGAGAGTCGATTTTTTCTAAGATTGGTACGCGAAGCAATTGAAATCAAAAAACACCGAAATTTCAATAAAGAGGACGGCCTCGAATTATCAAACACCTGGGATCCCCTATTAAAAACTCTGGATCCCAATAAACAGCATACCGGCAAACGCGAAAACACCGGTAGTCAATTCTGCAAGTACCCGACCAGTTTCGCCAAATACCAACTTCGACGAAACAGATGGCGCTAGTGTAGCAATTTTTACTTTGACGTCAGAGACATCCCCATCTTTAGTCTCGCCGTGACCACGGCTGCTGCAAAGCATCCGAAACGTCCGGCCGAAGTTAAAAATCATTTTCAAATAAGTTTAACCACTATATCGCGTTTTAAACCGTTAAGGTGTACAATAATTTAGGAAATTTGATAAAAAACTATTGATGCCAATGTGATTTTTTTGGATTTGTAACTGTGCCTACATGAATCAAATTACCTTGTTTCACAGAGATTTGAACATACGACCTTTGTTCTGTTTATATTTATCTTGTTTTCAGTCCTGCAATACTTCCATTCGTTCAAGCGGATGTTCGCAATTTTCACGGTGTTCTTCATACCCGAGTTGGTGAGGGTCATCGGCTTCCTCGTGCTGTATGACTCGTCGTACATGAAGAAAGTATTTTGGAACATTTTTGAAAGTCGAGAGAAGAGCGGGGAGAAGAGGGGAGATTTTATCGACACACTCATACAATTGAAGAATTCTGAACAGGATCCTGTTTATAGTAAGTATTTTTAAGATTTTTTGAAGGATAAGAATCGTTTGAAAACTATTATATTTATGATGGCACTACATAAATTAAACATCGATTCGATCGATTTTATATTGAAAAAAAAATTACAATGTGGGCAGGACTTCCACCGACATCCACAGCGTTCCGTGTTGTTGCTTTAACCAATAGAGCTACCATGTCAAATATATCGATACTTGCAACCTTAACACTTGCGTATTAAAAAACAGAAGGACACAGAATAATACTAACAGATTTTTTTCAATCTAAATACTATTTTTAAATTTAGGATAGTTATCGTTGATACGAACGGCATTTGAACCTACAAAATATCTCTTTCATTTTTCTTAGTAAAGATTAACAGAAGCTAAACAAGCGTAATATGCTTCGATTACTGTCTCGTAATTAAACAAATAGATCGAATATTTTAGTTACAATAATATAATAAACGAATTTTGCCATACACACGCGGCTACTAAAGCCTTTGTCGTACCTCATTAACATTGAAATTAAACTGTTAAATAAATGTTTAGTTTGTGAAAAAAATATGTCAATATAACTAATTGTTTATTTAGTCAATGTATTTGTACGTATGGAACGAAAAAAAACTTAATTTATTTCAACCGTTTATTTTACTTTTCGTTAAATTACGCTGATAAAGTTATCTCACAAGTAAAAAACAATTGTTTAAAAAACTCTAAGTTAATGAGTTTTAACTACAACTCAATGTCAATAGGGTTTTCAACAGATCATTACAGTCAAAACACTGCCTTCATAAAATATATAGGACGAAGATTTATTAAATTAGCCTTTTTTCTTTTCCTCGTGATCTAAGTTAAACCTGAGTCTTCTAAATTCTAAAATTTCCCTCTCCCAGAATTCGAAGGGCAGAACCTTTTCTCGCAAACGGGCACCTTCTTCTCCGGTCTCGAAACCAGTTCTAATGTATCAGCATTCACGCTCATGGAGCTTTCGAAGAACCAAGAGTTCCAGGAAAGAGCCAGAGAGAGCGTCCTGAACGCGGTGGCCCAGCACGGCTGGACCATCGAAGGCTTCAACGAAATGAAGTATTTGGATCTATGCGTATCTGAGGGGCTTCGAATGCACCCATCGGTGTCTACTCTGGACCGATACGCGCTCGAAGACTATAAGGTAATATTTGACCAAGAGGAGTAGAAAAACAGTCGGAAGTGTGGAACGAACAGCGAAAATTATTCATCTTTGGGGGTATTGCGAGCATTGAGAAAATGGTCAAGATCCCAAAAAAATATACCGTCTTTAAAAAAATTAAATCCATTCACGATTAATTTAGAACAATGTTTTGCTTCTTCATATAAACATATATACAATAATAAACTTCCTAATTACAGCAAACTAAAAATGCATAAGTCTAATTTCTGTTAAGTGTGTTTTTTATTGTTCGGTTGATGTGGTTAGTACCAACATACTCTCAATTTCGATTCTAGATACCGGGCACCGATCTAGTTATAGAAAAGGGAACTCCCGTCTACATCTCTCTGTTCGGAGTACATCGCGATCCGCAATTCTTCGAGCGACCCAATGAGTTTGATCCGGAACGGTTTAGCGAAGGCAATATCGTGTCTGACAATTATTTGCCCTTTGGAGTTGGACCCAGACAATGCATAGGCAAGTGCAAACAAATTTTATTAACTGTATCGAACTGGGGACCCTCTACTTAGCCCTAGGTATAGGTTATAAATATCATCGGGGAAAGCCTGAATAAATCTACGGGATTTGATTGGATTGGAACACACAAGGTTAAGAAGCTTGCATGTATGTGAATATTCTTAGAGAAAATAAATTTATTTAATCTAAAGTTTAGGTAACTACTTATAATATAAAAAAAAGTGTGAATCCTGATTTGAATACACAATGATATATCAATAACGAATCAAAGGTATTACGTGTTGATTAAGAAATCCCCAACGTTTTCATTACAGGTGTAAAAGCCGGTCAGCTGTTCGTCAAAGTTGTGCTTTCAAGGATTCTATCAGAGTACAAGTTGGAGTATCAACAGCCCAAGGAAGAGTTCAAATTGGATAGACGAGCGACTTTCACCACGGCAGCTAATGGAATTAATATTAAGTTTACGAAAATTGAACAGAAGTGTCAGTGAATTATTCTTGCATATATTTCAATATGTATCGAATTTGATTAAGTATATGTTAATTAAAGTTTATAAGCGATAAAAGCTGTGGACTATATTTATTATTTTTAACGGACAAAAGTCGGACAAAGAAAAAGAAAGTAAAACTAAATATATAAATACCTAAGTGAGACCATGTCATAGATCAAAAACTCTGTGAATTTAGTAATTTGATATTGTAGTTAGATTGTTGAAAGGGACAGTTGGTTAGGGACGACGAGATAGAGTTGGTCAATGAAACTGTCTAACTGGGTATAACGTTAGACTCCAAACTACAATGGGGATCTCATATCAGGAAAACCTCGACCAAACTCAGTTCTGCAGCCTCTACCGTAAAAGAGATCAAACAATTAACAGACATTAAAATAGCGCGTCTAGTCTACTTCAGCTACTTCCACAGTGTTATGACATATGGCATACTACTGTGGGGTAACGCTGCCGACATTGAATGTATCTTTGTGTTGCAAAAAAGGGCGGTCCGGGCTATCTATGGTATGGGATCTCGGGAGTTATTAAGAGATACCTTTAAAAGTAGCGGCATATTTACTGTGTACTCGCAGTATATTTATGAAAATGTATTGTATGCCCATAAGAATAAAAGCAAGTTTAGCAAGAATAGTGATAGGCATAATTTGAACTTACGAAATAAAGATAATTTAGCTATCCCCAAATATAAGCTCCATAAAATATCTAATTCATTTGCGGGGAATTGTATTCTTATTTACAATACATTGCCAGCTGAGGTGTGAAATTTATCGATAAATAAATTTAAAAAAGGTATAAAACTTAGATTGTCTCAAAAGGCGTATTATTGTCTGAAGGGTTTCTTTAATGACAAGACCGCTTGGCAGTAATATGAATTGATCCTTAGGTTAGTAAATTCACAACTATGTGTGTGTGTTATTAGACATGTTAAAAGAAGCCGCTCTGGTTAATATTGAAAAATTATTTTTGTGTTAGTTAACATAGAGGAATGCTATAGGCTATAAAACATCGCGCTGTTACTAATATGGAAAAAAACGGGGGAAAATTTTCATTTTCCGTTTCAGTTTCCGATGCGAAAACGGTTCAAGATACCCAGAAAAAATGTGTGAATGATTTCTTTAAAATGATCTAAAAATTGTCCGCGACACTATATTCTATGTCTATCTTTGATAGCGGTTTAAATTTATAAATATGAAGAGGAGGATTGCAAAAACAAATGTTGATGCCCAAAATAACTAGTATTTTATAATTCTAGTAAATGTCACGCTAGTTTATTAATCATTTTGACTGGTTTCATAAAATATTATTTATGTCAAAAACTTTTCCACATATTTACTTTGACAAACTTCTGTTTCTATTATAAAACATAATTGTTTAATTACGCGTACCGTTCATCTTTATTACAGAGTAAAAAGACACCAGGAACTAATTTACCTGTATTAGTACTACGACAATTAATTTTCTTTTTTTATTATATTTGACTTTGAACTTAATTCTTCGTTGAAGGTTTTTACAATGGTTACCATTTCATTTAAATAAAGATTTACCTCTAATGAATATACTAGGTTAATCTCGCGGTTTTGTCTCCTGTTAATTTTTGTGTGCAAAATGAATACCATTCCATTCTTCTGAACGTAATAGTTGAACATAGCACTGTTGACAATTAATCTATACTAATATATATGGCTGACGGATTTCTTTGTTTGTTTGAATGCGATAATCTCAAGAACTATTGGTTAGAATTGAAAAAATATTTTTGTGCTGGATAGAATCTTTATCAAGAAAGCTTATATGTAAGACTATAAAACATTGTTCCGACTTCGCGACTAATGGGAGTGAAGAGACAGTGGGAAATACGAAACAAACGGGGAAAATTATTCATCTACGGGTTTTCGTTGCGTATGCTGTGAAAAATTGTTCAAGATACCTAAAAACGTGTATGAAAGAATAATGGTTCTCCAAATAATCTAAAAATTGGCTGCGACTATATATGTCTATCTTTTAAGGTTAACTTGCACGTAAGAAGGGGCGTCGTCGTCTATCGACGTCGTGGGTAACGACTAAAAATGAAAAGAAGATTTACAAAAACAAATTTTGATGATCAAAATATAATAATTCTACGCGAGTGAAGGCGCTAACACTTTGAAAAATTTATGTAAATGTAGAATAGACGATGGCCCAACCATGCACAAACGCTGACTACTGAATCTTGGAGAAGACTGAACATCTTCATATGGACTAAAATTAATATAATTAAAAAAAAAAAGAAACGTGATAATCTACGTCTTGGAGATAAAACGTTTAAAGTCAACTGCCCACCTCGGATGCACTATAATAAACAGAAATGTACGAGCAGAGAGAACATATTAGACATCGGGATTCAAGTGCCGTCCTTTGCAGATCACCTCCTCACAAGGTATTGCTTGGACGCTAAGAAAAACAGGTTTTAATGTTGGAACGCAAAATATTAGGTACGTAAGATTGCATCCGACACAAAGGGAGGACGGTTATTGAAGAGCGCACAAGAACAAAGAGCACGGAAGATTGTTCCCCACCACGAACATCATGGAAGAAGCTTGAGATCAGAGTCTCCGCTGGACCGGCCACCTCAAAAGACCGCCGATTCGTTGACAGGCCCAGATACCGGGCAGGACGTCGGGGAGCTAGACCTGAATGGAGTCGGAGTCCCTGTATGGAAGCATAGAACCACTTTGGGTCGCTGTGCCAGCTTAGTCAGTACACAGCCAAATTTACACACTTTTATGATGCTGCTGTAAACCAAACCACCGAGGCGGTTGTCAGGAGCATATATATATATATATATATATATATATATATATATATATATATATTTTTGTGTCTAAAGTAAACAAAATATAAAATGAAGCTCATAGGTACGATGTAGGAATAAAAATCAAACAAAAGACGTAGAGGATACATTTTTGTTGGTTTTTTATTCCAAGTTTTGCTTCGAAATAGATATAAAGTTGAAATTGATGCTGCATGTAAGACAAATATATAATTTTCGCCGCATGTACTCGTAAGTTATAAAAGCTGTATAAATAGTAAATTAGGTACGCATAACATCATACGGTGCTTATACATATTATGACATAAATGATAGAGTGTCCCATATCTTTATCCATTTTATTTTGTGCGAAATCCAAAACCCGTGTTTTGGTATTTTATGATGATAAGTATGAGGTTCGCTCGATGTAAGGTGAAATATCCCAGATTCCCCGCCATATAACTTCTGAACAAGATATTCTGTCGACCGACTTTGGCTTTCCACAAACTAAACCCGAAACGCGACTCAACTTCATGGTTTCCCCAGACGAAGTCTAGTGTGTTTCAGAAAAATATATATTGATTAGAAAGACGTTAGATCAAGTGGGGATCTGACCCCACCGACCACGCCACGTTAATTATTAGACGCACCATATTGCTACCACTAACATCAACGTACCCGTCTATCCGTTTAATGTTTACTCATTTTGTCTTTTTAAAATAATCGAAACTTACTTGCAAGTATAAGACTGGCCTTTTAATCTACCTTGGACATATCATTTAAAACGACCAAACATCAATAATCAGAATACATAAAACCAGGAGTCTACGAAAGGTTCTAGGTTCTAGTCCCGATCAAAACTGTCATAATTTTCGCCGCTTCGTTTCGTTTGTCGGGTTACCCTCTACATCTGGCTTTTATTTGTTTCAGTCGACAGTGATTATTATAGACTTAATCATATCATTTGCGGGAGACGCTCGTACACTCCCTAAAAGCTCATGAGAACGTCGGATAGTTTAAATAAAACACTTTAACGGTTTAAAACGCGATATATTAGTTAAACTTATTTGAAAATGATTTTTAACTACGGCCCGACGTTTCGGATGCTTTGCAGCAGCCGTGGTCACGGGGAGACCAAATTCAAATAAGTTTAACTAATATATCGCGTTTTAAACCGTTAAAGTGTTTTATTTAAATGTGTACTACTCGCGTAAACTATAAACAGTATTTAACGTCGGATAGTGTTTATTTTGAATAAAACTAGTGAGTTCGATTAACATTGTGATAAGAAATATAGCTGGTCTGGCCCGTTACAATTAATTATAGACACAGACACAGGACCTGGAGATATTTTTTACTTCTTGAGCCGACGACACAAATAGCTAAGGGATTTTTCTCACAAACAATGCACATTGTGCATTGCGTGGTACCGAAAGAACTTCTCTGGTAAACTAATAGTAATTAGTTACTTCTACTTTTTAATATACATACTTAAAAAGTAGAAGTAACTAATTTTAATGCTTGGCCATTGATATGATGTTTATCAATAATTGGCATTTTAAACACACACGACCGACTAGAAAATTACTATAAAACAATATGTATTTATAATATTTTATTTTTCGCTTCTTTTCCAGGGAATTCATAAATACATTAAATATTTAACAAAGATAAAGAATTTAAAAACATTTAACTAATTTGCATATATTATGAGTCGATAAAAATTAAATGAATCATACTGGGGAATACATTTGTTTAATATTTTTTTTTATATTAAACATAGTAATCACTTTGAAGCCTAAATTGACGAAGTAAAGAAATTAAAAAATAGAAGAAATTAGAGAAAATTCTTCCATAAGTTTATATAATATTAATATCAAAAAAGTAAATATGAAGTAAGATTGACGTCCACATAATGTTTTCTCAATTCTAAGAGATCGAAGGTGGCTATTTTTCGTGACACATGCCTATAAACGCAAACTTCAAAGGGTTGTCTTCGTAAAAAATGTTGTAAAACTAAAAATTGTACCATCCTGTATTGCCCATTTAAATGAGGCGTGAATAATTATCTCTTGTTAATACATGTCGTTATCATTTACTGCTTTTCAAACATGCGTTTCGAATTATTGAATTTCCAAGAGTATCTGGGGAAATGGATTAAGTAAGTACGTATCACATTTATTTAAAATACAATAGTTGCTATAACTAAATTAATTAAATTAAGAACTAATTTATTTAACTTCACATATTAAAGCCTATTTATTTACACTCTCAACATATCCTATGTATAAAATGTAACTTCAGCTTGACTTAATGTCAAAAGCAAAATTTTGATTCAATTACTAGTCTGGAGATTACTTTTATCCCACTCCTATCTCAGGAACTACTGTTTCGAATTAAAAAAAAATGTTTGTGTTGGATATAGCTTTATTAAAGAAGCCGCAACACTTCGCTAAAACTATTACGAGCGTAGAAACAGTAGAAAATGTGAAAAAACAGGGAAAATATCCACCTTCGAAGGGAACCGTGGTGTGCGTTGCATAAAAGAATGATTCCTTTTTAAGTGATATAAAAAAAACCACTTAAGTATATGTCTATGTTTTAAGATTACACAGCTATAATTTATAAAGCTGGAGAGGTTGTTTGCAAAAATTAATATGATGTCCAAAGTACGGCACCTGTTATAAATAAACAATGTGACGGTTGACTGTGGAATGCTGATTCATGCCTTCCAGAATTATACTTACCGATTTCAGCTGAAAATAAATTACGTGAATTTCCATATCTATCCGTACTTTTCTATTATTGAATAACAAACTCCCATAATAAATGAAATAAACCAGATAATTTAAAAATCGAAAATAAATTGAAAAAATTTTCGACTCGGGCAGGACTTGAACCGGCATCGTCAGCTTTCCGTGCTGTTGCTCTTTAGTACGCAAGTATTAAGGTTGAAATTACAATGCGCGAGAGGTGCCTGTATCAATAAGTTGAAAAAATTTGACGATGAGGTGTAGGACTCGGTAGCTCAATTGGTAGAGCAACAGCACGGAACGCTGACGATGCCGGTTCAAGTCCTGCCCGAGTCGAAAAAATTTTTTCAATTTATTTTCGATTTTTAAATTATATAGTGCCTTCATGTGCAATAACATGTGAAAAATATTAATGTTTTTAAACCAAATATGTAACTCTCTGTAGTGAGTGTTTATTTATTTTATATCGATCAATTTACGATTATTACTTTTGAAGTCAGTTATAGACGCGATAATAGCTATCATTACTGTTTGAAAGTAAGTACTATAGATTACAGAATTAAAAGAATTTCAAATTGAGGTACCGTTTTGAAGGAACAATTGATTATAATTATTTTAAGTGTGGTTTTCTTTTTTTCATAACAGTACCGAAGTATTTCATTTGTCCAATTTTAGCTTTTTCAAATTATTTTCTTGACATTAAACTATTTGCCACCAGGACCTTATGGCAAGAGAAAAACCGGGAACAATGGAAGTTGCATATTTGAAAGGATATCTGGTAACACTGGTCTTAATCTGTATCCTTGTAATAATCTTTCTCGTTTATTGCCGTTACAAACTGAATTACTGGAAAAGACGAGGCGTCACGCAGTTAGATCGCGCTGACAAAATATTTGGGGATTTCAAGAGAGGAATTTTGTTCCGTTCGCCCCCAGGTTACCATTTTGGGGAACTCTATCATGAGTCATCGAAGGACGCGCCTTACGTCGGATTCTACATATTCCACAAGCCGTGTTTACTATTAAAGGACCCGCAAATTATCAAACAAATACTTGTGCGCGACTTCCACAAATTTTCCAATAGGAATTTTTCGAGATCACAAGAGAAGGATAGCTCTGGAATGAGAAATTTATTCGGAATAGAAAACCCTGCTTGGCGATATCTGCGGAAGAAGTTTAGCCCCAACTTCACGCGTAGGAAATTGAAGCAACTGCTCAACTTTATGATGCAAACTGGAGAACCGATGATGGAGTACATGAAGAGCGGACCTGAAGGAAGTAAAGTAATCGACGTACAAGATGTCAATTACAGATACTCGGCCGATCTCATCACGAGTGTTGCTTTGGGTTTTCAGACGGACTCATTCCAATGCTCCAATTCAGATTACACTAAATTCTGTGAGTAGAGAAATAACGGGTTTTTGTCGAAAATAATATTAGTTAAAAAAAGCAATTGTCAATTTATCCCAAGCGTTAAAATAAACCTATGTCGCATAGTTTTTATTCACTTCAACGTTAGCATGAAGCCTGAAAAATGACTTTTAACCATTTTCCAGTTATGAACTATTTCCATTCATGGAAGCGGATGGTCGCCGTTTTCACAGTGTTCTTTGTACCCGAGTTGATTACTGTACTGGGCGCGAGAATACTTTACGACTCTTCGTTTATAGAACAAAAATTTTGGCAAATCTTGAACGCCCGCGAGAAGAGTGACGCGAAAAGGGGAGATTTTATCGATACATTGATCGAATTAAAGAACCGCGAACAGGACTCTCTTTATAGTGAGTATGCATTGCTTACCGGCACTGCGACCCAGAGTCGGATTTTGCAGAACAATTATTACTTACACTAAATTTGGTTAGGTCTAGACCCGTCGCGACTTTCCAGTATTACGGGGATAGCCAAAAGGTTATCTTGAATCTTAACAATCATAACTAAATTACACCGATTCCAGAATTCGAAGGAGGAAATCTATTCGCGCAATCGTCAATGTTCTTCTCTGGTTTCCAAACCAGTTCCCATGTCTGTTCATTCACCATTATGGAGCTGGCACGGAATAAGGAATGTCAGGAGCGCGCGAGGGACTGCGTGCAAAAAGCGATAGCTAAACACGGATGGACTTTTGAAGGTTTCAACGCCATGAAGTATATGGATCAGGTTATAGCTGAAGGGGTTCGGATGCATCCAGCTGTTCCTATCTTAGACAGATATGCTTTAGAAGATTATAAGGTTAGTATCTTATAGGACACGATACTAAATACGTCGTCCTGGCGATTGGTTTTCAATAGAAGTAAGTTGTTCCGTCAGATCAGACTTCCGTGCTCTACTAACTGAATCCATTTAGTAATTTGTATCCCTCGGGTTTCAAACCCAAAGCCAAGCTAGATAATGTATTCTGTCATTGAGTACGATTGCCCCCACTGCATTTCATACATTATATTAATACAGTAATTATAATGTATGTGTTGCCATTCTTTAACAGATACCCAACACTGATCTGACTATTGAAAAGGGGACTCCCATTTATGTGTCCCTATATGGTATACATCGTGACCCCCAATTTTTCGATCAGCCTGACGTGTTCGATCCCGAACGGTTTAATGGAGACAGGAGCATTCCTGACAACTATTTGCCGTTCGGTACCGGGCCAAGAAAATGCGTAGGCAAGTATTTTTTTAATTTCTTTTCCGCTTCTCAAGCAACATAAATTGTAAACAGACATACTTTGTAGTTAGACATATTTATATTGGCGGATTTAACCAATTGAGCTACCGTGATCATTTCGAACTAGTCAGGCGAAGTTATTACTTATCGTGAAATTTCTTTTTTTCAATAATACTTGTATGGCCCAGGTATGAAAGCTGGTCGGCTATTTATCAAAGTTATGATCAGCATGATCCTTTCGGAGTATCGTTTGCACCAACGGACGACGGAGCAGGTGCGATTGGACAAACGGGCCACCTTCTTGAGCGCCGAGAAGGGAATTTACGTAGAATTCACGAAAATATAATTTGGACATTGGAGACTCGATAATAATAACTAAATGCATATATGACATTGTTAATTTTATTTGAAAGTAATTTTAAAAATATAATAAACTGTGTTGATAAAAAATACTTGTACATCTTTAATAATTTGATTCACTTTAATTTATATTAATGTAGGTATAGATGCGTGAAGAAGTATTGGAAAATGAAATTAATTTTCGTTGAATTCCTTGAAAATCCTAATAAGAAACATCGTCAAAACACGCCCAGGGTGTAAGATAGAACATGGCTTTGTTCTAATTAGAAGAAAACCCATCGCCTTAAGGAGCTAACGTTTGCGGGGTGTTTCTCGCCAAACTTTGCCTTGATCTTTTCTAAGTTCAGTCTTAACACAATTCACATACACAGAAATAAGACACAATTTTATATCAATAGCGATTCGTAGGGTGTGCCTTAGTCATTAATAGTGCAGTTTATAATAGCTAAATGGTAACTGGAATACCTGTTCATTACAATCTGAATAAGTTTATTTGAAAGGTTGAAACGCTGTGATTTGTTAAGAGTTGTATTGCCGGAAGCAACTGTACCGCAACTAAATTTGTTTACCTCGTCTGTTGTTCTAATTTGAACGGGCGCCATTAGAAATTGTACGTTACGATCTATATTCATGCCCCGTAAATTATTCACCTAAATTTGTATCTCACAGTGTGCTCAAATTGTTTGGAATCAAAGCTAAAATCGGTATTAAATTTGAAATATAGTATTTTTATTATAAGATTAAACTCTAATAGTTAACCTACGTACATACAAATAAACTTTTAAAGAAGATATTGCGTAAGGAAGTCTGTTACATTTTATGTACAATGGTATTCATATTATCCTGTAATATAATAAGAATAGGAAACCGCTGTACACTTTAAGAAACGATGCAAATATTTATATGTTGCGAGGTGCACATATAATTAAATAGAATGGTCTTGCCCAGAACGCTATGCCGTAGCGAGGAATGGAGATTTCGTAGCCAGGGACTTATCTCGTAGCACGGTCCGTAGCGTCGTAACAGTACCCAAATCATATTATTGTTTGATATGTCAGAAGGGTACAGCGTAATTATTAATCATATACTTATATGAAAGCATTATGTTTGTCTAATATGTAACACATAGTATGATAAAAAATCACAGTTAACCAAAGGTTAAAAGTTCACAAATATTTCATTTACCAACCACATTGCTTTGGGAAGCGTATGGTCGTTATTAATGAGCTAGGTTGGCGGAGCGATACAATGGAAGTATTAATCATTGCATATAGGAAAACATTATTAATTCTTACTCAATTCAGTGCCAATCGTAATAGCAAAATTTAGATAGATTTTAAATTTAAGCGTCTGTCAATTTGATGTAAATTATTTGTTAAAAGTATTATTCATTGTTGAATATAATGTGAGTGTGAGTATAATTATCATTAGTGACGTCAATTCGAATATCGTTTAAAAAGAGGTAATAAAACGTTCGCGACATAATATAGCGATAAACAAGCGGCAAACAGGTCACAAGCACTTTATTTGTGTAATCTAAATGCTAATTGCCCCTGCGCCGTAATTAACTGCGCAAAACTGCATCAACATTCAGCCCTATCTTAGCGGAGATTTAATGATCAATGCCGCCGTGAAATATGAATGGGGCGATCCCAAAATCTCTATCTAAAATGATTCATTATTTGACGTTTATTAAAAATAAAATAGGTACGTTTTTAACGAATTCATTGGTCTATAGAAGTCGTACCCTAGAAGGGAGTTTTACTGATTCTTATAATAATTAATGAATAAAAAGAAGACATTACAATGAAAATAAATATTTAATTGTGCACCATCCGACCAATTAACACCTGACTGCTGAATTACGTAAACCTGAGTCCCAGTGAAGGGAACTACGAAATAGTTCTAAGGTAAAAGGTAGTCGTTCGCTTTCGAACAAGCAGGATGAAACTTATTATAAAAACATTCGAGATCTCAGAAAAGGGCGCAACCGTTTGGGTAGAACAAACGCGGCCCTTATGTTAATAAACGGAGTAATAAGCCGGAAAATACAGAGAAAAATGTCCCCTGCGGGCGCCGCGGTCGTTACATGAAGCGTTCCCGCTTGATTGCCGCACGTATCTCTACAACCACACCCTGGAAACACACGGGCCGTAGACCGCAGCGGCCCATCTCTTTAGGATAAGTTTTAGGAGGTCAAATAATTTTTGCACTGTACACAAAATATTAAAGATTGTATTTTTTTACTTATTGACTTTAAGAATACAGTGCCTGTGCAATTGACATTTGTAAGACTTGTATTAAACTTTATCTGTAGGTATTTAAACGATGACAATCTACTGCAGTTGCAGAAATCAAATTCGTAGGAAAACGTAGAACGTATATATCGTTGGGCGAGTTGCGCATTGTATATACGAGTGTAACCCGCGTCGGGCCTCTCGTATGTTTCTCGCCCGTATGTATCGAAAGCCTTTAAATAATGACATTTGTTGCTGCCACTGCGTACAGAACGTCGCATCTCCTTTATATTAACTGCACTGAACCTGCTCTTCATTTATATGAAGTAATTCAGCGAGGCTTAATATTGAGCCTTTGAGTCTTAGCGCTGTTATGAACACTGACTTTGAATACTATCATAATGCGGCGAATGATAATGTAAATGTTGAATAATTAATCATTGTCATAAGATTATCGCTCATATATTTATCCGTAGGCACACCGAGGATACACATAGTCAGACAAGTTCTCGTATACAAACGTACCTACACTCGCACCTTAAATTATTGATAATACAGCGTTATTTCACGTATGAATCCAATTCTGCTAAAAAACCTTGTGAGGAAGGATAAAACATAAAACTATCTCACAAATTACTATCTCATAAATGTTATTTTTAAGTTTTACTTTTGAAACATAATAAGATAGTTGGCGTCAAACAAAGATTAATTTACTCGTTGTATTACTTAAACTTGCTTTACAATTCTCGTTATAAATGAAATGTTTATCTATGGGAAGAACTTAAAAATGGAGACCGAGTTGCAGCGAGCTCAGTAAGCATACATTATTCCCAGAACATAACGAAAACGTAATAAAAGTGTCAACGTGCTTCTGCGAACTCCTGGGAGCTGCGACATTTCTTTAAACGCACAGTTTGCCATTCTCATCTATACATAGCACGTACTAACGCTATATGTCATATTTTACAAGGCGTTATTCCGAGTAAAATTTTATTTTAAAATAGCTTCAATTCAACAGTACTTTTATTACAGATTTAAAGACATATGTATGAGAGACTAAAACCATATACACAATACACTCTATCACATAATATTGTTAAACTCTTTTCACTAACATGTGTAATTTTCCCAACGTGGCAAAGGCCTTTTAACGACATCCTATCGGTTGTGTAGACAATTTTAAAAAAATACATCAAACAAAACTTGTTTTACTGAATGTTTCGGATGAATCGATTCCACTTTTATATACCGTAAGAATGGAGATAAGAGTGTTGCAAGTTGCGCCCTGTTAGCGTGTATACAGTCTCAGGCGATAAAACGATAGACTGAATTCTCACGCGGCGTATCATATGCCCGGGCAGACACATTCCTACGCCTATCGGCTTCGATTTAATTGTTTTATGGACTCACACCTAGGAAACGTCGGGCTGTAGTTAATGTTAATTACAAATAAGTTTAGTTTAAATATGTACTATAGACAAACACAGATACATTCATGCAGATTCATAAAACGTGGGTCTCTTTTAATTAGAAGGAAATCTTTGTTGAAATAAAACTTAGTTTAATATAAGCCCTTACTGGTAAAGAATGAGCTTTTATATTATACACTTTACATTTATTTATCCAAGATACTCCTCCGAATTTAAACGGTGTAATATTATGCTTATCGGGCAACATTTAATGCAGTAGAGTAAATTTATTCACGTTTAAAAACAATTTCGCACATACGTATTTCTATTCTATAAATTGAGATTTTTGTTTTGCATTTAATTGCGATTAGAGTTAAATTGATAGTGCTGTTATTAGCGAAACAACTGGTTAATGTTTTATTTATTTTATAGAAGTTTAACACTTCGTTGAGCCGTCCAGTGCCGTAGCACAGTTGTGCGGCGTGATTTAAAGCGAGAATAAAGCAACGTTAGCAAAGCACACCGCATGAACACTAGTCGTCCATCTCCAGTAAATACGGAAATATCTCCGCGGCTAGGCTTATCCGAACAAATGTGACGTCACACGGAAGTGCTATCGGTCCCCCGAGCCGGATGGATGACGTCACGACGTCAACGAGCTGCCACAGACCATCGCTACGATTTTTCGCGAATATTTTATAGAGAAAATTGTTAAATTAAAAATGTTAATCTATGTAAGCTTAAATAGTTAATAGGGCACCGCAAAATTACATAGTCCATTAAAAGTATAATCCAATTAATAAAAATAAAGGATAAAACAACGAACCATCTTAATGAGATCTTGAAACAAAATGCGCATTAACTAATACAGTGTTATGTAACTATCGAGATGAAAAGAATGAATGCATCCATTTTATTATAAGACGCGTTCAACTTTCACCTCTGACGGGTGAGCTTAGGGCTTATTTTCGTGTGCCTGCGAGATTGCATTTGCCACGGTGTTCTAAGTAAACAATGCGGAGCCCGGAGCGTTCCGTAATTATTTGAGAAGACAAACATTTCTCATTTAATTATATTTATGTGTAACAAACCACGTTCAGCAGCGAACGTCGAAGCTTGTTATTTAGTCGTTAATTAACTCCAGCGATTCCCATTTTGAATGGAGTTTATACAGAATTAACCGCACAAATTCGTGCAGTGGTCTCGGGTCATAATATTGATTAAGTCTTCCTCATTTTCGTCATCAGCCAAGACGAAGTAGCCTGCTGCTGTCAAATATATCTAAAAACGACTCCTTTTTTTCTCGTGCGTATTCCATTGGATTTATTTTAAAAAAAAAT